AATAAATATTAAAAAAAATAATTAAAAAATAGAAAAAAAATATGTTTACTTTTACCTTAAAAAACCACACGACTAATAGTTTTTTTTTTTCTTTTTTGAGAAAATATAACTTAACAGTATTTTAATGAATATAAATGAACAGAAACATAAAAAAATAATATATATACCAGCCAATGATAGAAGGAAGGATATGCTTGATGGCTCTTTGCACAAATACCTTCTTATTCCAGCTTCAATCTAAATAGCAATGCAGAGAGAGAGAGAGAGAGAGAGAGAGAGAGAGAGAGAGAGAGAGAGAGAGAGAGAGAGAGAGAGAGAGAGAGAGAGAGAGAGAGAGAGAGAGAGAGAGAGAGAGAGGCATGCTTGACTCCATGGACGCCACTCACAATAGCTAATCTTCATAGATTAAACCATATGTGTGGCATACAGGGAGCCAGGCACAAGCCTTTTCACCTGCACGCATACATCTTCTCTAATCTCCCTCCTCCTCTTCAATTCTCCTGCAATCATTTTTTCTCTTCCACTCTCATAACCCACCCAGAAATAAGAAATAAGTGGAAGAAGGCCAACTATAACTGTATTACTATATAAATCACATAATTAAAAAAACAAAATCTGCTTACAATAATTATATTCCTTAAATCATAGCCATCTGCAGCTGCCGCTGCTTCATTATTAATTACCATATCTTCTGCTGTCTCATTTTAGTAAGAGAAAGAGCCTGCGGGTAGCTTCTGCTTTGCCCTCACATATCAATATCCTTTTCCTTTTTCTCTGATTTCTGAAGCTGGCTTTTGTCTGGAGTGCTTGGCTTGGATGAACTTGGATTGGATTCCTTTTGCCAAACCAATCCTACCCATCAGGCGTGAGATATTTTATTCCCCCTCACAGGGCTTCATCCTCGGTAGTCCCCCATATCCTTTGTAATTTGTTTAATTAAGCTTACCTGCTTTTGTATGATATAGTTTGATTTGTAAGTTTATTAAGTTCTTATTAATGGGTTTAGGTTACTTTACACAGCGGGACAGATGGTCAGGCGGACCTAGAAGACTGGGACAAGGAGGACAAACAAATTCTGTCGGGATGAATATCAACGTTGGCAAAGCAGATGTGGAATGAAGAGATCAATAGTTATTTTATTTTATTTTTTTTGTTTTTTTTAATTGTATTAAATCGGAATATTCAGATGTAGCTAGCAAGTTGCTAGTTAGATCTCAAAATTATAAAATTTATTTGTAAAAAAAGTATGATATAATTGGTGTTGATTCATCATGAAACATTAGATTTATTTTAAAATTATAATGTAACTATGCAACCTGCATGCACTGCAATGGTGCCCCTCAAAAACGGTACAATGAGGCGCTCTATATACATATATGCTGCAATAACGCACATCTAATACAATAGAATACGACTACTTTCTCCAAACTTCCGATGCTCTCTCCTCGCAATTCACCATTAAGGCCTACATGACCCGCTACGTCGTGCAACTACCAACTCTGGCCATTGCGGCCTATAGATGTTATCACATCTCATATAGCTTCCAACTTCAACTTCTATAACCTATCAACATCATTCAGTTCACAACTTTGGTTTTTACAATCTACTGGCGTTATTTTGGCTCTTGCATTTCTCAATTTTGGCTTCTGTGGCGTATTTACGTTATCAATGGTCGTGCAATTCCCAAATTCGGCCTGCACAACCTACGCACGCTATCACAGATCGTGTAGCTCCCAATATCTGTCTACAGACATTATCTCAACTTATGAAGCTCCTATCTCGAGTTTCTGCGACCTACAAACGATATCACAACCCATGTCACTCCCAACTCTAGTCTCTGCGACCTAAAAACGTTATCGGAGCTCGTATAGCTCCCATCTCCGACATCTGTGGTTGATTGATGTCATCACAACTTCTCGCTATACCCGATGTGAGCAACTACAACCTACACAACTCATAGCTCATACAAAGCTCCCAATTCTGACATCTTCGGCCTATGGATGCTATCACAGCTCACCTCTACGACCATTGTGACCAAATACGACCTACATGGCTCACAGCTGGTGCAACTCCCTCCTATGATATATGTGGCGAACCGGTTATTTTTAAGCAACCTCTATAACCCATATAGCTAACTATTACCATAGATTTCAACTGAGACCCAAATTGAGTTATTTTGATTCTAAATCTGCCTCCAAGCTCATTATTGTCAATTTAATTTAACATTAAATATAATTTTAATAAATAAAAAATGATTTGCGTCCCTCTCAAGCCAGTTCGAGTCAGTTTGTATGTGTCTACTCAAAATTTTGACCAAACTAATTTATTTGGGCTAAAATTCAAATCAATTTTGAAATAGTTAACATGTTTTAGGTAGATTCAGAGCCCTAAACACGGTCCAACATAAATAATGAAGGTGTATTTTGACACTTACCGGTATTAATTTATTTAGAAGGCTTTTTTTTTTTATTTATTTTCGGAAATGATATTGAGTAGTGCGTTCTGGGGCTATATGAGCTTGACTTTGACTAGAGAATCTAATGATTTAGAGTTCGTTCCTTCACGAGGAGGCGTCAGGCGGGCAGTGTAACGCCAGACCCATGTGGATGACGCGGCGCTTTCTCGGGCTACGGCGCACCTTTTGTTGGCGGACAAATTGCATGCCCCAACCCGAATCTGCTTTGAGATTCGAACTAATTGGCTAAAATCCTTCGAAATAAATTAAATTTAAGATCAATTCGAAATGAAATTAAATTTAAGACTCTCCAAAAGATTATCGGCTATAGTCTGCAAATAAAAAAATAAATAAAAGGAGAAAATAGATTTATTTGCTCAAAATATTTTAAACCTATTCATTGGGCTCTCTTTTATTAGCTTCATGTTTTATAGTATTATCTTCTAAATAAAAGTACGCATAAGAAAATAGAACTATTGAATATAAGATCAAAATAAATATGCGAGAAGTAGGTTAAAGAAAAGAGATCGTTTGATTTACACGAGAAGGAAGAAGGGACAACCTAAATCTTAGACAAAGACCGAAGATATTCAACCTGAGCTTCAAGGACTCATCAAATCTCAAGTCAATTTTCATAAACATGCTTGTTGCTGAGGGCTTCACTCTCGGTCTAGAGATTAAATCAAGAGCCATAAGAGCCTGTGCAATCTCTCTCCCTCGTTCCGTCTTGATCACTATGTCACATTTCCCTCAGTTTGTCTCTTGATTGATTGCACTTGAGGTTGCTCACACCTCTCATCCAATTTGGCCTATAAGTTCGGTGGTGGTTGACGAAGGTCGACGATGGCAGGAATGATGTTGGACTTGAGTTATTTCCTAAAGTCTCAAGTTCTCTCTCCATCCTCTCCCATCGTGTGAGTGTGAGACTCTATTTATAGTGTTATGTGTGCAATTAATGCAGGAATATAAATCATTTTGGTCGGACAATCCAAAGAGCTTCCCGAACGATATTTAATGGACATTTGAGTGCCCAATGATGTAAGAATTAGTGCTTTTGGGCTCCTTGGATTCGTCTTTGTCGAGACTCTTGATTCGACTACAAACTCGCTAGATTTGACATCCGTTTGACCTTTCAAATGTCTCCGGAAATCCTCCAAGAGTAGTTTAATGATTTTATCCAGGCTTGATTCGACTCGGATTAGACTGAATTTCATGTCATTAGGTCCGTCTCATCGAGCCGATCAATTTGACTATAAGTTTGCTGAAATCAGACCTCTAATTGACTGTTAATCAAAATTTAAATGTTTCTTTTTCAAAAAATTGCATCAAGATTCGTGCTGGCTGATGAAAATTTGTTGTTGACGTATCAACTATGTTTAGCTGGAGAACACCTCAAGCAGTGGAATGAATCATTTAAGACATGCGGTGTTTGCTTCACCTGGATGCCGCCGCAGTCACAGAACCGGAGTCGATTTCTTCTAGTGAGGAGGAGAAGATAGTGTAGTTATAATTAGGATCAAATGATTAATTGTCTATTTAAATAAAATATTAAATTAGTATTTTTATTTCCAAAAATAAAGGTTTAATAATTCATAATAAGAGAAAATATTCAGTCTGCAATTAAAATAAATTTGAGGCATGTCAAATACATTAAATATTATTTTATTCTCTGAAAAACAGAGAAACTTGACCAGTATTGATTATGGTGAACAATATGATTATACTGAATGTTTTCATGTGCACAATTATGTTATAAGCTATTGCTTTCTCATCAAATTGTTTATCTGAATCTTTTGGGTCATATATTAAAGAAAAATTTCTAGTACAACAAGGTCGTACACCATGGATTTCACATCATATTAGTTATTAGAATATATATTTTTGATCCGTATAACATGATTGTACTAAAGCTTTTTTTTCGAGACAACCATATTGTTCAATTATAATATTGTACCGAAAAAATATATAGAGCTTCAAACTTTTTGATTTTTAGATAATAAAATAATATTATATATATTTAATATCCGTTTAATTTTAATTTGAGTTCGGGCTCTTAATATTTTCTTGCGAAGGAAACCCATGAGGATAGGGCTGTCAATTTGGCTCGTTATTCGTGAACATTTCTTGTTTCGCTTGTTAAACAGCTCGTGTTCAGCTCGTTCGTTTAGCCTAACGAGCCGAACACAAACAATTTTTTAAGCTCGAAATGTAAATGAGCCGAACACGAGCGAACAAAATGAACACGAACATCAATTTGTTCGCTCGTGTTCGGCTCAAAATGGCTCGAAAAGAAAATTATATAACTTTTTATATAACAATATGTTAGATATATTATTTATCAATATGTTACATATATTATTTATATAATAATATATTATATATATTTATGTCTAAGTTTAAATCTTAACACCTCATGTGACAATGTGGTTAATGTCTTATTTTGTATAGATTTGATCCAGGTTCGAATCCAACCCTTTACATCTATTTTTCTCACTTTACGAGCCAATTTCGAGCTGAACACGAGCCGAACACGAACACACTGTTCACGAGCCGATTTTGAACACGAGCTATTTCGAACGAGCCGAACACTAGCCAAGCATGAGCTCGCTCAAGCCCGGCTCGTTTACAGTCCTACGTGAGGACAAGAAAGCCCTTTCACATCTCCCTCCCAACCGTTCATATTCCCGCCTTCACTACCCTGACCACCAAATCCCCTCCCGTAAAGCAGCCGGAGAAAAGCAAGTGCCTCCGGCCTCGGCTGCGCCACCTCCCTGCTTCCATCAAGCATCGCCGCCACCGCAGTCATCGATGGCCGCAGAGCTGGCTCCTCATGCAAGCAACACAGCGCCACTCTCACCGCCCTCTCCACTTCCTCCTCCCTCACCCTCTTCTCCAACCTCTCATCCGCAAGCTCCAAATACTTCCCTTTCTCGTGCATCTCCAGTGCCACCAACGGAAAACACACCATCTCTCCTTCGACGGAGTTTTTGCTTGACCATCCCTCGCTTCCTCTGCCCTCCACCGAGAAGTTCTTCTTCCCTCGAATAATCTCCAGAAGCACCATCCCGTAACTGTAGACATCAGCTCGATCCGATATGGCCGCATTGGCCAGCCATTCCGGCGCAAGGTACCCTCTGGTTCCCCTCATCGTCGTGAAGAGTCCTGATTGTTCAGGGTTCATGAATTTCGCGAGGCCGAAATCGGAGATCTTGACGCCGGTGATGCCGTGGAGGAGGATGTTCTCCGGCTTCACGTCGCAATGAACGATCTTGCGGTCGCAGCCCGAGTGGAGGTAAGCGAGCCCTCGCGCCGCACCGATGGCGATGTCCATTCTCTCCTGCCACTCGAGAACAGGACAGCCAGGGCGAAAAAGAGAACGGTCGAGTGAGCCGCGGTTCATGTATTCGTAGACTAGCAGGCGGCGGCGGCGCCCCTCTGCGCTGAAGCCGTGGAGGCGGACCAGGTTTATGTGGTGGATGCTGCCGATGACGGCGATCTCCATGCAAAATTCCTTTTTTCCGTGGAGGCTGCCGGCGTCGCCGGCGCTGATGCGCTTCACGGCCACCGTGGTTTTATCAGGGAGTTCGCCAAGAAATACTTCGCCGAAGCCGCCGGAGCCTATTTTTGTGGAGAAGTTGTTAGTCGCGGCGACGAGTTCGGTGTAGGTGAATCGGTGCGGGAGCCCTGGGATGGAGATTTCGTCGGAGTTTAAGATATCTTCGGTGGAGCTATGGTTATCAGTGAGCTGTGACCAGGGATTATTCTGGCCGCCTGCATAAATCTCCTTCAGAGGGCCTGAGTTATTGTTGCGGCTCCGTTGATGGTGGCGGCGCAAACAATAGAATCCTGCGAGGAGAATAACTAGGAAGAGTATGCCGGCGATGGATGGCAGGAGGATCGGGAAAAGATTGGAGTTTTTGCTGGAATCATGCTGCGGTTGTGTCGAAGCTAGAATTTTGATGTATCCTTCTCCATCGTCGACAAAACCGTGATCTCTCGTGCTAATAAATGATCCGATCTTGTCTTTAATTAAAAAGCAAGAGTTTGAAGAATCCCGATAGAAAAATCCCAAACAGAAGCAATTCACCGAGCAGAGATTACGACACGAGGACAGGTTCCCTCCGGAGCTCGCCGGACTCGCGAATTTATTGGCGAAATAATCCGTTTGACTTCCCAGGCTCAGATAAGCTGCTTCAGATTGGTTCTTCTCGCCGGCGCATTTGGATGGATAGGCTAAAGTAAAACTATCGGCCGGCGAGCAACCGCCGGTAGGCAACTCTGTCAACGATGCAGGGCAGTTGCAAGTGGCACCTATGCTCGTCACCGTGCAGACGTCCAACTCACCGCAGGACAACGGAAGATCGCAGACACCGCGCGGAGCGAGGAGCTGTTTAGAGAGAACGGAACCGTTGCCATTGTATCCCATGACGCGAAGCTGACCGTTGGATTCCAGTCTGATGAATTTAAGCTTCGTTACAGGGAGGTCAACGAGATACACCGCTCTTTTTTCTTG